AAGGATCACAAAATATGACCACCTGATTTTTTGAAAATGTTCCACAAATTTTTATTTTTGAAAATATATCTTGAAACCTTTGTAGTTTGTAATTTTTTCATTTCGTTTTCTTTATAGGTTTGGGGATTCGTAACCCAAATTGTGATTTTTCTTTGGGCTTATTTTAAGTCTGTAGTGGTTTATTTATTCACGTAGTATAACTGGATTAGCCCAATATTTTTTTTGGCAGCTTACAAAAATGCCTTTGAAATTAAGGGTCTTTTAAAAATCATATGAAACATATTTTGGAAGTAAAAAATATTATGTAAAATCAATTGTCACCTTTTTTAATAGAAAAAGTGACACGGTAAAAAAAAGTGACACTGAAAAAGTGACTCACTGTCACTTTTTAAAGTTAAATGTCATTTTTTTTTTACTTTTATTAAAAATTGATGTTGGTCACTAAAAAAGTGATAGAAATCAAGAAGTTGACTAAAAAAATGATAAACACTAAAAAAAAGTGACAAAATTCAAAAAAGTGGCACAAATTAAAAGAAGTTACACAGATTAAAAAAGTGATAAATACTCAAAAAGTAACAAAATTAAAAAAATAAAAAGTGACAAACTAAAAAAAACGACAAAAATTTTTAAAAAATGCGAAGGCTAGTGATGATTTATATTTATAACTCTCATCCAATATACAACAATTCTATGATCAAATAAAGTGAACAAATTCTTGGAACACTTTTATTACTATACCCACCATTCATCTCAACATATATCACTAGCAACTGTCTCATCCCTCTCGAAAACCAGCACAAAGCAAACCCACCACCAAGCTATCTCCATATCGTCAATCCAATAGTTTCATCACAATTCCCCCCACCTCGTTTACTTCTCTATGCACTTCACTTGGGTCAGTATTGCTATTATCATAGTTATTACTATCAATTGGCAACTCATATATGCAAACTGGACAAGAATTTCGATCGCATATCAATCGGCAACTCACATCAAGCTGCCAAAAATGGTGTTTTTGGAGCAAATCTTCATTTATCAGTATGAATTCATTGATTACATTATATTACCTTTGTATGCTCAAACAAGAAGCACAACTCAAACAAGAAATACATAGTAATTTTCTTAATTCAATAACTTCACTCTGAAGAAATATATGAATAAAGTATGGGTAATCCCTAGCCCAATAACTATCCGAGACAGCCAGAAGAGCAATTGAAGCGAGGGATTGCACTATGCTCTTCACTTCGCACCTTGTTGAACAACAAATCGACCCA